AATAACAAACAAGGAGCCAACCAACATTTCATTTAAACTTCTAAGTTGATATGATGTGGTACTGATAAGAGTGTATATTTTGTGTATTTAAAGTGGAGAGTTCTATAAATGTTAATTACGTTTACTTGTTCCAGATCTGAGTTCAAGTCCTGGATATCGTTGTTAATTTTCTGTCTCATTGATCTGTCTAATATTAATGTTGAAGTCTCCCACTATTATTGTGTGGGAGTCTAAGTCTCTTTATTAGTCTTGCATGTCTGGGTATTCCTGTATAGGGTGTGTATATATTTAAGATCTTTAGCTCTTCTTGTTGCATTGATCCTTTTATCATTATATAATGTCCTTCTTTGCTTCTTTTGATCTTTGTTGCTTTAACGACTATTTTATCAGAGGCAAAAATGGTAACTTCTGCTTTTTATTTATTTATTTTAACTCTCTGTTTGGTTGGTAAATCTTTCTCCATCCCTTGTTTTGAGTCTTTGTGTATCCTTGAATGTGAGATGGGTCTGGATGCAGCATACCGATGGGTTTTAGTTTTTCATCCAAATTGCCTGTCTGTCTTTGGATTGGGGGATTTAGTCAATTTAAATTTAGAATTAATAATGATATATGTGAGTTTAATACTGCCATTTAATATTAGCTGGCTATTTTGCCCATTAGTTGATGTAAATTCTTCATTATATTGATGCTCTTTACTTTTTGGTATTTTTTAGAAAGGCTGATAAACTGTTCCTTTCTATGTGTAGTGGTTCTTTCAGAAGCTCTTGTAAAGCAGGCCTGGTGGTGATGAAATCTCTGAGTGCTTGCTTGTTCACAAAAAACTTTATTTTTCCTTCACTTATGAAGCTTAGTTTGGCTGGATGTGAAATTCTTGGTTGAAAGTTCTTTTCTTTAAGGATGTTGAATATTGGTCCCCACTCTCTTCTGGCTTGTAGGGTTTCTGCTGAGAGATCTGCTGTAAGTCTGATAGGCTTCCCTTTGTGGGTAACCTGACCTTTCTTTCTGGCTGCCTTTAGTATTTTCTCCTTCATTTCAACCCTGGTGAATCTGACGATTATGTGCCTTGGAGTTGCTCTTCTTGAGGAATATCTTTGTGGTGTTCTCTGTATTACCTGGCGTTGAATATTATCCTGCCCTACTAGGTTGGGAAAATTTTCCTGAATAATATCCTGAAGCGTATTTTCCAGCTTGGATTCATTCTCTTCGTCACATTCAGGTACACCTATCAAGCATAGATTAGGTCTTTTCACATAGTCCCATATTTCTTGGAGACTTTGCTCGTTCCTTTTTATCCTTTTTTCTCTAATCTTGTCTTCTTATTTTATTTCATTGAGTTGGTCTTCAACCTCTGATATCCTTTCTTCTGCTTGATCAATTCGTCTGTTAAAACTTGTGCATACTTCACGTAGTTCTCGTATTGTGTTTTTCAGCTCCATCAATTCACTTATATTCCTCTCTAAATTGTGTATTCTTGTTAACATTTTGTCAAACCTTTTTTCAAAGTTCTTAGTTTCTTTGGATTGGGTTAGAACAAGTTCTTTTAATTCACAGAAGTTTCTCATTATCCACATTTTGAAGCCTACTTCTGTAATTGGAACACACTCGTTCTCCATCAAGCCTTGTTCCGTTGCTGATGAGGAACTGGGATCCCCTGCTGAGGCAGAGGCGTTCTGATCTTGGGTATTCTCAGCCTTTTTTGGCTGTTTTCTTCCCTTCGTTGTAGATTTATCCATCTGTGGTCTTTACAATTACCGTCTTTGTAATTGGGTTTCTGAGTGGACGTCCAACTTATTGATTCTCAGCGCCGAAATCTGAGCAACCCACTGCGCTGACTAAATCAGCGGCGTTAAGATTGATGGTGCTTTTCTGACTCTGCACCAAGAACCGACGCTCCAAGGCGCCGGCAAAACTGCCTCGCCGGTCACAAGAGTTGCGCTGGTGACCGACCCGTGGGGCTCCTCCGCTGGGAATCTCCTGGTGCGTGAGCAACAAGAATTCATGTGAAGGTGTGGCGTCCTCTCGTTCTTTGCGCTTTCACTGGGAGCTACAATCCCGAGCTGCTAGTGATCAGCCATCTTGGATCTCTCTCTTTTTATTTTTTTGAGACAGAATTGTGCTCTGTCACCCAGGCTGGACTGCAGTGACACAACCACAGCTGACTGTCACCTCAAACTCCTAGGCTCAAGCGATCCTCTCATCTCAGCCTCCTGAGTAGCTGGGACTACAGGCGTGCACCGCCACACTCGGTTAATTTTAATTTTTAAAACAGAGATGAGATCATGCTGTGTGCCCAGGCTGAACGCAAACTCCTGGTCTTCAGTGCTCTCACCTCAGCCTCCCAAAGTGCTGGGATGCCAGGTATCAACCACTGTGCTCAGCCCCTCATCTCCTTCTAAATTCTGGCTTCTTTTCTCTCCCTGGTGATAACTGCCTCCCCTTTGCTAGCTAACAAAATCTTACTGGCCTTTCACTTCCCGCTTTGGGGAAATCTTAAACTGGACTCTGGATAGATTGGGGCCCTGAGCTTACTTCAGGACCTCTTTTGCCCTGTCTTTTCTGTCTGTGTCTTTCAAAGTTGATTGGCAGCCTCGGAAGCTGTCTGTCATCAACCCTGGCCCCATTCTGATTGTATATATTTATTCCCTTGGGCACTGTCAATTTCAATAAATGGGATTTTGCAAGAAAAGCCAGGAAAAAAAGGGTAGGAGAAAGAGAGTAGAGGAAGAAACGGAATCTCACATACCCTGTGTAACCACGGAAATGACGACAGCACTAAAGGTGCGCATCTTGTCCAAAATAAATAAAATTCCCATGCGGGATCATTCATGGCACGAAACCAGGACCTAAGTGGTCCCAAGTGACAGTTTGCCTTTTCCATCACCAGTCACAAAAGAAGGGCAGGTGAGAAAAATACAGGTTGCATGGAAAATGCAGGTGAAAGACAGGGCTGGAGCCCACTGGGAATGCGTTTTTTGGTAACGTACTTCCACAAGGGCAGGACTCAAGGATGAATGTTCCCTGCAGGAATATTACTGCAGCATCCGGATTCGTGTTTCCCCACCACGTAGGATGGACACCTAACTTGCACAGCATTCACTCGGGGGATTCACTGCTCATCCCTGAAACGGGCAATGTTGGGTTGACCATGTAAAGAGTCTTCATTCCTTATTAGAAGCCATGGATCCTAGTTCCATGTCATAAGGCAAAAATAATAATAATAATAATAATAATAATAATAATAATAATAAAGCCATGGAAAGGATGCAGGGACCGGGTCTTGCCACTTCCAGTATGGCAGACAGGGTGAAGGAGATGTTGACATGAGTTGGGAGGCTGTAGCTGATGACTGGACAGAAGGCTTTCTGGTTAAATACGGCCTGGAAGGCAGCAGGGTCCACCCCCTGCCGGTGAAAGTCTGAGCAATTGATGGTGAAAGTACCGGTCCTTCCTGTGGAGAGCTGAGACCTTCTGCGTTTCCTAAATGAGAGAGATACCAGGGCTGGGGCCTGAGAGCCTCCCTGCAGAGAAAAACAGTGTGAACTCTGGGAGAGGCAAGCGAGCCCCTCCTTCCTGGGCCAAGACTCCCTTCTTGCCAGGGGTGGGAGGATGGGCTGGGCTGGTAGGCAAATGGTGGAAGCCGATGTGGCGAGCTGAGTCAGGGCTCGACCTTCCTTCCTGTGTTTCTGCTCCCATGTAAGCCTACCTAAATTTGCATGCAGGCAGCTAGCCCCTCCAGGAAGTCTATTCTGTCCATACAACCATAAGGTTTTGGCCTTTATCTGACCTTTTTTTTTTCTCTCTCTCTGGATCTATTGTGAATCTTCCTTTTAGTCACTGAACATTTCCCTAACGTGCTTTCCCTCCATTTTTCCCTCTTATTCTCAGGTTTTCCTGACTCCTGAAAATCTAGAGAGAGGTAAACACGAGTGTGACATAAAATATGTGGGGAACGAAGGGACGCTGTATTCAGTGTGAGCTGATCGACTACTTCCTGTGTGTTCAGCTCGCTGCCCTTCTCAGCTTCCTCTAGGATCTGTGGGTGCCATTTTTATCACCACCTTGAGAAGATCTCCTGGATCAGCCATCCACCATGCAGTTGGTGAAGCCACACATTGAAGTGAAAAGTCCACCTCACCCACACTCCACCCCTGGTTACTCCTGGAACTATAGCCCAGAAAGTCCTTTCCCATGCCTCTTCCACGCTCTTTCCCCGCCACGTGATTCAAGAGGTTCATCTCCAAACTGGAGAGAAACATCTCCCGGGGAAGTGAGTGTTCTTTTCCTCCACATCACCACCTCCTCAAGATTTCCCAAGCAACACCAGAAAGGAGTTAAATGATTGTCAACAGGACGTGAGCTACTCGGTTCTGGTAACTCCAGCTTGGTAGAAAGGGACAGCTGGACGTTACGTAAGTGTGGAATTGGAGAGTGGTAAAGTGAAGGGACAGGCGATGCCGCAGATGCCTTCGTGGGCAAATGAGAGCCGGGCTGTATGTACTGCAGTGAAATTGATGTTTCATCTGCAACTAAAAGGAAGCCAAAACCGATCCGACAGAGAATTTGAACCTGTCTGTTTTGGATTTTCTGCAGCTCTGGAGAATAAGTTTTCTGGATGTTGCCCTAAAAGATTTCTCCCTCTTCCTCTGTGTTTGTCCTATCTTACCTAGAAGCAGAAAGGCTGACAGTGAGGTAGAAACACCCCTAGGCCAGCAGGCCACCTTCCCCTCTCCTCCTCTCCTGCGCTCTTCCCTGAAGACTCACGAGGATCCCCCACACCCTTGAGCTTGAAGGAGCTCGGCCCGCCGGCTGGTGGCTGGTTTTGAATCCTCCTCATGTCAGGTGATCACTCCCTGTGCAAGGCTGTGGCCAGACAGGTCCCAGCAGTGCCCTGCCACGCCCCTGCCCAGCTGCTCCTTCTGGGCTCCAGGCAGGCCGGAAGCTGGTCTAAGAGCAGGGGAGACGACCCTGTTTGGCCCTCCTGTCTAGATGAATGCTTTTTTTTTTTTTTTTTTTTTTTTTTTTTTTTTATGTTTACTTTATGTACAAAGAACTATCATGGTTTTTCATGTCTTTTTCGTGTCTTGGATAATCCTTTGAAGATCATTTAGTCCAACTTAATGAAACCTATATCCTTCGCGTACTGACGGAAACACTGGCGGCACATATTGAGACCATATTTCCGGATCAAACCATGCCGGTTTGAACATACGCGACAAGAGCGAGAGCCCTGGCCGAATTTTCGCGGGTGGCTCCAGTACAGCTGCTGGTGACCCATCTCGCTCTCAGAAAGGCAACGTAAAAAGCTTTTGTTTTTTTTTTTTTTAAGACAGAGTCTTGTTCTGTTGCCTAGGATGGAGTGCAATGGCGCGATCTTGGCTCACTGCAGCCTCCACCTCCTGGGTTTTCAAGCAATTCTTCTGCCTCAGCCTTCCAAGTAGCTGGGATTGTAGGCATCTACCACTATACCTGGCTAATGTTTTGTACTTTTAGTAGAGACAGTATTTCGTCCTGTTGGCCAGGCTGGTCTCAAACTCCCGACCTCAGGTGATCCACCCACTTCGGCCGCCCAAAGTGCTGGGATGACAGGCGTGAGCCACTGCCCCTGGCCTAGATGAGTGGTTTTAAACCTGTGTTCCAAGCACCTTTCAGAGAAAATGGGGGAGCTGGGGGATGGGACAGATGGGGCTGTTGATAAAGGCCTTGTCACATCTCTGTGGAACTGACTGCCTCAGGGAGAGGTCACGCACTGCCAGGAAAGGAATGGTTAAGCTGCCTCGTGGTGGGGACACCTGCTAACTTCATAAGGCAAGAACATGCAACAATTTTGTTGCAGACTAGAAACGTCTTATTTACTGTGGACATTTGGAATCGTCATCAATGCAGAGAAGGTAAGCTCCGTTTCATTCCGTAAACCTGGCTAACATCTGTCTCCACAGCTAGCACCGAAGCACGGATCTGCGTGGTTCCTTGTTTGCACTATTGCCATAGCCTCTCCATAAGGTGTTCTCTGTCTGATTTCTCCCCAGTTGAGTCTTTCATTTCATTCATTCTCCTAAAACAACTTTCCAGCTTACCCTTCTGGTCTAGTATCTCTAAAGCCTACAGCCCTGGGGCCACTAAGGAGTATGTGTGGGCAGAGAATGATTTGATGAACTTTTTGAAATACCTGCACGCAAGTGCTTCCTACTGAGAATGTGTGTGTGTGTGTGTGTGTGTGTTTAAAAGCTCTCCACCAGTCTGGCCAACATGATGAAACCCCATGTCTACTAAAAATATGAAAATTAGCTGGGTATGGTTGTGGGCACTTGTAAATCCCAGCTATTCAGGAGGCTGAGGCAGGAGAATCTCTTGAACCTGAGAGGCGGAGGTTGCAGTGAACTGAGATTTCGCCATTACACTCCAGCCTGGGCAACACAGTGAGATTCTGTTCCAGAAAAAAAAAATGTTCCCCAGATGGTTCTGATTTACACTTATCTCATGGAAAACCTGTCTGTATTGGAGGGAAGGGTGTGGATATGCTTAGGAAGGCCCTCAGAGAAGGCATCAAAAACGTTAGTAGTTTTGGGTAGAAATGAAAAACTTTTACTTTTCACTTTGTATTCATATAATGTTTAATTTTTTAACCATGGCACATTTTGAAAACAGCTTTACTGAGGTGTAATTGATATAAACTGTTTAAAGAGACAATTGGATAAGCTTTGACCTATGTATGCACCTGTGAAAGCATCCCCATGGTCAGGATAATGAACATATCCACCCTGCTCCCTGTAATCCTTCCCTCCTCCTCTTTCCTGCCTGGCTCTGACTGCCTAAGTAAGCGCGGATCTGTTTTCTGTCACTTTATATTACTTTTGCATTTCCTAGTATTTTATGTGTCCTTTCTTCTTTCCTTATATATTTATGTAAGCTATACATTTCTTTTGAAATATTTGCCTCTCACAAGTTTTGATAAGTACTAGTCTCAGTTCTAGAAATTAAAACCAGGCCGGACATGGTGGCTCATGCCCGTAATCCTAGCATTTTGGGAGGCTGAAGCAGGTGGATCACTTGAGGTCAGGAGTTCAAGACCAGTCTGGCCAATATGGTGAAACCTCGTCTCTACTAAAAATAACAAAAATTAACCAAGTGTGGTGATGGGCGCCTGTAATCCCAGCTGCTCGGGAGGCTGAAGCAGGAGAATTGCTTGAACCCAGGAGGCGGAGGTTGCAGTGAGCCAAGATCATGCCACTGCACTTTTAATTCAAAATGCAATTTTTATTTTTTCTTTGACCTGTGAGTCATTTATACATGTACTTATTAGTCTAAAAATATGGAAAAGGAAAGTTGTGTGTTTGTTTCTAGTTTAATTGCATTGTGATTGGAGAGGTAGCATATCAAAGTGGTTAAGTGTGTGAAATTCAAATGCCGGGCACCGTGGCTCACACCTGTAATCCCAGCACTTTCGGAAGCCAAGGCGGGCGGATCACCTGAGGTCAGGAGTTTGAGACCAGCCTGACCAACATGGAGAAACCTTGTCTCTACTAAAAATACAAAAACTTAGCCAGGCATTGTGGCATGTGCCCAAAATGCCAGCTACTCGGGAGGCTGAGGCAGGAGAATCACTTGAACCTGGGAGGTGGAGGTTGCGGTGAGCTGAGATCACACCATTGCACTCCAGCCTGGGCTACAAGAGGGAAACTCCATCTCAAAAAAGAGTGTGAACTTCAAAGCTAAACTCTCTCAATTTGAACCCTAGGTCCACCATTTACAAGTTGTATGATTTTGGGCTTAAGTTACCTAATTTCTTCATGTCAGTTTCTTCCGCTATAATGTCAAATGATAATTTGACGTCAAAAGTCAAAAGACTCGTACTTATCAAAACTTGTGAGAGAGAGTTCCTATCTCTTATGGTTGTTATCAGGATTAATTAAGGTTGTAAGGGCAGGATGCTGACAACAGTGCCAATTCATAATAAGCACCACAGAAGGGTTTGTTAATAATAATAAAGTATCCTAAACTCCTCTTCATTGTTGATATTTTGACCTCTTTCCATGAATCCTGAACATGCCTGATGACATCTAGAATAGTGAATCCTTTCTAGAAGGTTTTCAATTTGTTTTGCCCAGATCTGTCAGAAGAATCACTCTCTGTGACAGTTATTGCCTTACAAAATGTATTTTTTTTCTTTTCTTTTTCTTGTTTTGAGACAGAATCTGGCTCTGTCACCCAGGCTGGAATGCAGTGGCGCAATCTTGGCTCACTACAAGCTTTGCCTCCTGGGTTCAAGCGATTCTCCTGCCTCAGCCTCCCAAGGCTAATTTTTGTATTTTGAGTAAAGACAGGGTTTCACCATATTGGCCTGGCTGGTCTCAAACTCCTGACCTCAGGTGATCTGCCTGCCTCGGCCTCCCAAAGTGTTGGGATTACAGGCGTGAGCTACTGTGCCTGGCCACAAAATGTATTTCTTAAATAATAGGACTTGAAAGTTGAAGTTACTGCTCGGTCTGCATGGACGCAGAAAGGATGCTGGGCTAGCAGGCGTGAAAACAGCACTCGCCCTCCTGTACGTCTCCATCTGAGCTCTTGGGTCGCCACGTACATTGTCAATGAGCAGTAATATTTTGAAAGGAATCGTTCTTCCTCAGCATTTGGTCTCAACATTGGGCTTCAAATATTCAGTAAACCATGCTGTAAACAGGTGTGCTGTCCTCTAGGCTGTGTTGTTCTATTTACAGAGCATAGACAGAGCAGATTTAGTGTCATTCTTAAGGGCTCTAGGATTCTCAGAATGGTAAATGAGCATTGGCTTCAACTTAGTCACCAACGGCGTTAGTACCTAATAAAGTCAGCCCGTTCTTTGAAGCTTTGGAGCCAGGCATTGCCTACTCTTCTCTAGCAATGAAAGTCCTAGATGGCATATTCTTATTTATTTATTTATTTATTTTGAAATGGAGTCTTGCTCTGTCACCCAGGCTGGAGTGCAATGGTGTGATCTTGGCTCACTGCAACCTCCACCTTCTGGGTTCAGGCGATGCTCCTGCCTCAGCCTCCCTAGTAGCTGGGATTACAGGCATGAGCCACGACTGATGTCATCTGCTTCTAAGAGAGGGCTGTTTCATCTGTGTTGCAGATCTGTTGTTTGATGCAGCCACCTTCATCAGTGATCCTAGCTGGATCTCCCGGGTAACCTGCTGCCGCTTCCTCATTAGCACTTGCTGCTTCTTACACTTGCATGTTACAGAGACGGCTTCTTTCCTTAGGCCTCACGGACTCACCTCTGCTAGCGTCAACCTTTTTCTGCAGCTTCCTCCCCTCTCTTAGCCTTCATAGAGTTGAAGAGAGTTGGGAGCCTTGCTCTGAATTAGGCTTTGGCTCAAGGGACTGTTATAGCTGGTTTGATCTTTATTCAGATCACTCTAACTTTCTCCACATTAGCAAAAAGCCTGTTTCCCTTCCTTGGCATTCAGCTGTTCATTCTGGAGTAACGCTTTTAATTTATTTCAAGAATGAACCGATGAAATGTTTGCTTCTTATTCCTGCAACTTCGGGCTCTGCTGTTTCGAAGTCTTAGAGGAAGGCTTTCCCCAGGCGAGACAACGATGGCCCCATGAAACCGGAAATTGAGATGCCGCTTGACCAGTATGGACTCCACATGCTGTTGACTCAACAGGCAGCAAGCACGGTGGTGGATCTGACTACGATGGGAAACTGGGTTACTGCAGTGATGGTGGGAGGAGAATGGCAAGAACGCGGAAGATGGCCCGACGTGCCCCTTAGCACGCTCAGGTCTTGTGACTGAAGTCAGTGGAAAACTACAGCCACCGAAAACAGACAGGCCTGCTAAATGCTCGGTCCCTGGAGGGATGAAGATTTGGGTCACTCTATCAGGCAAGAAACCATGGCCAGCCATGGAGAGCTTGTTGAAAAGGAATTTGGACTAGGCAGTGGAAGAAGCTAGTTTTAAGCACCAGGTATGACCATATTCCCGGTCACAGCCATGAAAACTGTGATGGTTATACCTGTTTCTTCCTCGTTTTGACATGAATATGTTTGTGGATATGTTAGCCATTTTTTTTGTCTTCTCTTCTCCCATGTCTTTCCATAGAACATAATATATGTTATAGTAGTTAGCTGGTGGGGCGTGGTGGGTCACGCCTGTCATCTGAGCACTTTGGGAGGCCAAGGCAGGTGGATCAGTTGAAGTCAGGAGTTGGAGACCAGCCTGGCCAAAATAGTAAAGCCGTGTCTCTAAAAAAAAAATACAAAATTAGCTGGCCATGGTGGCACATGCCTGTAATCCCTACTCAGGAGGCTGAGGCAG